ATTCTCGTTCACAATGTATTTGATTTCTATAATTTTATCCGATGTATCAATCGATAATTGTTCGCAATTGTGGAACTGAGAATTCCGTAGTTTGCATTATCATCTACCACAATGGCATCAACTTCAAAATCTCTAAATCTGCCATAGTTATCCCAATTACCATTCGATTTCAGCATTATTGGGATTTTTGACATGATTTTGTGTAGTTGATAGGAAAAAAGACAAAGAAGAGATATAGTTTCTACAATTTGAATACTGATATCGACGAAGAGCAATTTTGTACAATTTGAGACGAAGAACAGATATAGTCTCTCTTCAGTAATTGTACAATTTGATTGCGTTTTTTGTGAGATCTCTTTCTGTTGAGGAAGGAGAGAATTACGCAACTGGTGCCTTCATCAGGAAGAGAGATCTCCTTCATTTCAAAATTGGAATAAAATCCTTGACAAAATCACATCAGATTTGGTGCCTTCATTTTAGAGCTTTTTTAATGGCAAAATCTACCTATTTTTGGATTGGTATATAATTTGTAGTAAAAGTGTGGACTACATGGGTAAATAACAAATTATGAACATTTTTGGTAATAATATTTGATATATGGTATAGATAGGTAAAAATCCCAATACAAATTCCCCACATCCTCAGCTCATACTAAATGGGCTTAAACTTTAATCAGAGTCTATAGAGCCTAACGGCCTAAAAGGAGGCCTCGAAGAGGGCTTACTTTCTCCGTCCATTAATTGGTTGGGCCGATAAATTAGAGTTGATATGTTATTGAAATTTGCACGCTTTAATTTGGAATGAATACGAAAGACTAAATTAATAGAGTAACTTTTTGTTAAGTCTAGCTAGCTAGCCATCGAAACTAAAAACATTAGACAAAGAGTATTGCAACTACAGTACAATGGAGTATAAAATAATGGCTAGGCTTTATATGAAAAAATAAGATAGTGCAACAAGTTTTCAGTTCCTCTATTATGGAACAAGTATTTACAAACAAATTGCGGACAAAATACATATTGTCCAAATTATTTCATTCTAACTACTTGAGAATCAAACTTGTGTTCTTTATTACAACGATTTTTGTGTATTTCTGAATATTTTAAGTATACGTGACTCACAGAGGAGGACCAATGTTATCAGGTGAGGGATCACCTACGCCCGAAAAGTTTGACAATTTTTTTATAAATACATATATATATTTTTAAAAAATACTAATATATTAATAGTAATATCTTGTATAAAAATTAAAATATATTATAATTGAAAGTAGAAGTACACCCTTAACCTTCAAATTCTGGTAGCTCATATTAAATTTGTTGTACGTAGTTTTTATTTCATATATATGAGTTATAACCCTCATACTCCAACCCCAAACCTAATTCATTTTTATTTTCATAGTCAACTCTTGTTTTGTCTCTATCTCCTTATATTAGTTCTCAATTATTCTCTCCCAACAAAGAGAAGTGGAACAAAAAGTTTTACTCCAATGTTAATGGCTTCGAACCAGAATAGCTTCAACAAAAGCATAACACATGCCAATCCCACAACCATATTCAGTGAGGTCCGCCGCAAAATATCATTTCGGAAGAAAAAGTTGCCGGCGGTGCGGCTCGGAGGAGGAAAGAAGCACCGGCGAAGAATTTCTATAGCGAAGATTTTCCGGCGAGTCCGACTGAAGTGGCTGAAGTTGCACTACTTACGTATGCTGAAGAAGATTAAGGAATATTATGGGTCTTTGGTGAAAGACATAAGGGAAGGTAACGAAGCAATTGATGCCTTTCAGCGACGGCTCTTATTTGAAACTTCGTTTGCTATTCCGGTGATGGGTCTTTCCTTCAATACTTTTCCCAACCACCATATATAGCAGTTGAATGTGACATTTTTCTAACTTCTATGTGAACGCGAGATATTTTGAGCAAAAATCTGCTCATATATTTTGGTTGAAAGGTGAACAAAAATAATCTTTTTGTTAAGTACATATTTTAGTTCATTTGAAATATTGTTATCGTTGAAATTAAGATGTGCAAGGTAGCAAAAAATACAAATTTCTTCTTACTTTGCTTAACAAGTTATACATAATTATATTATTACTATCCATCCGATTTATAATAAGTGATTTTTTAGTCTTTAACACATTCCATAATAAAATACTAATTCCTAAAAAAATTGTATTTTGATTATATTATCGATAATTAAAATTTATATATTGTTAACTTTAACACTTTGGATAATATGTAAATAAGAGCAAATTTAAAAATAAAATAAAATTAATGCCTTTTTAATTATGTAAAAGGATATTTATTTTGATCAAAATTAAAAATTTAAAAAGTCACTTATTATTATGAAACACAATTAAGTACTATATTTTTATTGGACTATTTTTCTAGATCGCCTGATGTTTACTTTCATTGTTTGCAATGTTCAGGAGGTCATGCATATATTGTGTATATGTCGTAGCTTTTTATGCAAGAACATTTGTGAAAAAAATTCTCTATGAATTACTTAAAAGTAGACTTGAGACGAAATTATTTATAGTATAAGCATGATCAAGTTGTGTAATTTAAAAAAGTGCGGGTAAATTATATTAGTTGTACAAATATAGGAGAGAGACAAAATATTGTATATGAAGGTGAATATTTACATAAGTTGATCAATTTGACAGTTCAGAAATTAACTTACTTATTATAATTAAAAAAGGAATCATGTGTCGGCTGCAAGTATTTTATAAAACCATTATAAATATTATTGCTGTTATCAGCGCTTTCGTCACTTCCGATTGTGTTAAAATTGATGATCTCGATTCTCGAATATTTATCCATAGGACTAGAGTACAAAAATTTAGTCTTATTTGGATAAGATTTTAATATCTCATTATCAACTATCTTACATATCTAACCACTTAAATAAGCACCAAATGGCACATGCTTCAATCACAAAATGTGATAAGAAACAAACAGCTGAAAGACAAGTAGTAGACACCACAGGAATTAATAATTTAGTCTTCTAACTGTTTCTAGTAGCTTGACACTTGCATCAGAAAATGATCCTCTACTTTATTTATTTTTTATCAGTACTATATAACGGAGTGCTCGAAGTTAAATATTAATCCAAAGCTAGCTGCCTTTTGAATAGGTAACCGTATATGTCTTGAGAAAAAAGTAAAAAAAAAAAAAAAAAAAAAAAAAAAAAAAAAAAAGGATTCGGAGGTTTCCGGAAAGTGGAGTTGCTCGGCGTTTTGTGACGACCCAAAATATCATCTTTAAATTAAATAATTATTTCGATATTTTAAGATTTTGAAAACGGTATCAATAATTCCTCGACTTGCGTGCGCAGTCCATATAATTTTTCGGAAGGGTTTTTATGTAAAAAATGGATTAAATTGTGAATTAGAGCTTTAAAACTCAATTGGGTTGACTTCGGTCAACATTCTGAGCAAACGAACCGGGATCCAAGTTTTGACCAATCCGTAGTTCCGTATCGTGATTTGGGACTTGGTCATATGCCCGAAATCGAATTCGGAGGTCCCTAGCTCAAATTATCGTCATTTAACGGAATCTAGAAATCTAAAGCTAAAGATTTCTTAAGTTTGATAGGAGATTTGACTTTTGAGCAGACGATCCCGTAATGGAATTTTGATGATTCCAATAGTTTCGTATTGAGATTTTGGGCTTAGGAGCGTGTTCGGATTTGGAAGTCCGTAGGACAATTCAGCGCATTTTGGCGAAAGTTGAAAAATAGAATTTTTTTAGAAAGTTTGACCGAGAGTTGACTTTTTGATATCGGGGTCAAAATACGATTCTGAAAATTGGAACAGCTCCATTATTTCATTTATGACTTGTGTGCAAAATTTGAAGTCATTCCGGATTGATTTGATATGTTTCGGCGCAAAAATATAGAAGTTGAAAGATTTGAAAACTCATAATTCAAAATTCATAATTTCGGCGTTGTTTGACGTGGTTTGAAGCCTCAATTAAGTTCGTATTGTATTTTGGAAAATGTTGGTATTTTCGGACAAGATCCCGAGTGGCTCGGATGAGCTGCGGATGGGGTTCGGATAGTTTGGCGCCTTGTTGAAGGTGCTGAAATTTCTGCAGAAGCTATCTTTGGCAGCAACTACTGCAATCGCAGAGCCTACTTCGTAAGCTTATATCTCGAAATCTATAAGGCATTTGTAAATTTGCAAATTATAAAAGTTGTAGACCTTGCATCCTAGTTTTCAGAAAGCTAAACCATTAATCATTTGGATATGTGCACAGAATGTTATGATCGATTGAATAAAGGCTGATAATGTTGTATTGAAATTTTTCCAGAACTTTCTGATGCGAGGACGATACTTTGAAAGCTTATATCTCGAAATCTATAACAAATCTGAAAATTTGCAAAACATGAAAGTTGTAGCCCTTCCAACCTCCACTTCCAACCAAGAGGTTGTGAGTTCGAGTCTCCCCAAGAGCAAGGTGGGAAGTTCTTGGAGGGAAGGATGTTGGGGGTCTATTTGGAAACAGCCTCTCTACCCTAGGATAGGGGTAAGGGCTGCGTACACACTACCCTCCCCAGACCCCACTAAGTGGGATTATACTGGGTTATTGTTGTTGAAAGTTGTAGCCCTTGCATTCTAGTTTTCATAACGTTAAATCGTTCATCATTAGGACATTTACACAGAAAGTTATGATCAATTGAATAAAAGCTAGTAAAGCTGTTTCTAGTAGACTTTTAGTAACGTCTTTTAGTGACGAAAATGGCTTTTAGTGACGGATGGGCAGAAACATTTAATCACAAAAATCAGTCACTTTGTCATTTCGTTTAGGAATTTTTGGAGCTCGGTTCTTGGGCGATTTTCACGTGAAAACATTGGGGTAAGTGTTCCTTATCCTATATTGATTATATTTCATGATTCCATACGCATTTACATCATGAATCCATGAATTTATGGAAGAAAAATCAGATTTTTAGCCAAATCTTCCAAAAACAAAAATTTAAGATTCGAAAGCCAATCCGATGTCGGATTTTGGTAAAATTTGTATGGTTGGACTCGTGGTTGGATGGTGGTTCATATTCCATGACTTTTGTCGTATTTCGAGACATGGGCCCCATAGGCATTTTTGGGTTAATTTCGGATTTTGTTGGAAAATTAATATTTTCATATGGAATTAATTCCTATAATATGTATTGAATGAATCGAGTTAATTGTGACTAGATTCGGGACATTTGGAGGCCGATTTTAGCGACAAAGGCATTTCGGAGTAGGATTTTTGCTTGGATTGAGGTAAGTAAAGCTTGTAAATGTTGTCTTGAGGGTATGAAACACCGGATTTCACATCGTTGTGCTACTTTGAGGTGACGCACACGCTAGATGACGAGCGTGGAGTCGTGCACCGTTGGGGAATGTGACTTGGTCCGTCCCGCACAACTGTTAAGTCACGTATTTGATTTGAAACCTTTTGATATTCCATATTTTAGAGATTGATATTATATTTTGGGATGTATGCCATGTTTGGGGGCCTTGTGCCGACCTGTTGAGACCCTTAGGGGCACTTTCACTATTTTTCCTCACTCTATTTATTTTGAAAGCATATCCTCAGTCATGTTTTACATGTTTATTGTTTAAATCTGGTTTTATCACTTTACTTCTTAAAATGTGAAAACTGTTTGGGCTGAGTTCCCTGTTTTACTGATGGTCCAAGTGATCGTGAGGTTGATGGCTGAGATAGACCGAGGGTCTGATTGTGAGGTCGATGACTGAGATAGGCCGAAGGTCTGATTGTGAGGTTAATGACTGAGAGAGGCCGAGGGCCTGGTTGTGAGGATTATATATTTATGGATCGGGCTGCACACCGCAGCAATATATATTGTTGCAGTATGCAGCCCGATCCAACATATCGCTGCAGCGTGCAGCCCGATCCATATACATACATACATACATACATACATACATACATACATACATACATATATATATATATATATAGCGGTTGCAACGATATAGCGCTTGGGCTGTAGGAGCCCCTCCAGAGTCTACACACCCCCAGTGAGCACAGTCGACTATATATATATAGATCGGGTTGCACACCGCAGCGATATATGGATCGGGTTGCGCACCGCAGCAGTTACTATATGGTACTTATTGAGTGTGAGTGCTGAGTGTGAGCGCTAATTGATGAGAGTTGAGTCTCGAGTGACTGGGAGGCTTGCCCGAGGGGCTGTATACATATATGAGTGTCGCTTTGCCCGAGGGGATTATTTTTATGTAATTGATGTTTCCACTCCTCTTTATAGTGAGCCTCTGTTGAAAATGTTGAACAAATGCTTTTAAACAACTTTCATTTAAGCTTGAGTTTTTTTATGAGATATTCGGGATTCGATCACTGATTTGGCTTTGTTGTTTCCACTGAGATTTTTATGTTATGAGGTGTTTATGATTCCTGTTTTGCCTGAGGGGCTGTATATGAACTATGTTTTGCCCGAGTGGCTGATTATGATTTTTATCTCTTTAATTATAAATGTTATTGATCCCCTACTGAAACTGTTGAAAATCATTTTTAAATGATTTTTACCAAAGCTGAATTTTAAATGAGACGATTTCGTATTCTGATTTGAAAGCCTGTTGTGCTTATTGAGTTTATCATAAATGTGGATTCATTGTTGCCTACTGCCCAGTCTTTATTTACTCTTATTACTTACTGGGTTGGAGTACTCACATTACTCCCTGCACCTTGTGTGCAGATTCAGGTATTTCAAAACTCGGTAGCGTGTGTTGATTGCTTAGAGGCGGAGTCGTCGACCCAAAATATCATCTTTAAATTAAATAATTATCTTGGTATTTTAAGACCTTAAAAAGTGGTATCAATAATTTCTCGACTTGCGTGCGCAGTCAATATAATTTTTCGGAAGGTTTGTATATGAAAAATGGATTAAATTGTGAATTAGAGCTTTAAAACTCAATTGAGTTGATTTCGGTCAACATTTTGAGAAAACGAACCCGGATCTAAGTTTTGACCAATCCGGTAGTTCGGTATCGTGATTTGGGACTTGGTCATATGCACGAAATCGAATTCA